CACTCCAGTGTTCAGTGTCAGTTGGGCACGAGGACAGCGAGAACGTGCATTTTACCTCACTGCACACAATTCAGAAAGGCTGAACTGACTCACCTGTGAGTCCTTTTATCCCATGCTCCATAGGAGGCCAATGTTGAGCCTGCTTTGGAACTCTGTTCATGGCATGACCACTCTACTTGTTTGAAGCACATTTATTACCGAGTGGGAGCATCCCATGTACGTACCAAGAGAGCACAGGAAAGCCCTTCAGGCGACCTCCCAGAAAGGAAATCCAGGAAAATTGCAGAATGCTTCGAAAGTGAAGTCATTCAGACACCTGCGTCACGGGACCTGATTTCCAGCCTTCCAAGGGGAGAGGCGTCTGCCAGCTTGTCCGGCCTCAGGACTTCCTGCTGCCTCTGCCTGAAAGGCCTCTCCCTCTTATGCTGGCAAAGCTGGTTCCTCTTTGCCATCAAGTCTGCCCCAGGTGTCAGCTTCTCAGAGCAGCCCTCCAGTTCACCTGGCCTACCCTGCCCCTCCCTAGTCCTTCCTCAGGCTGCTTTTCTGTGGCCAGAGGGTGATGTACTCAGCAGACAGCGAGGAGGAGAGAGAGCGCCGCCCCATGGGGCATGTCTGTACTGCAACCCTCCTTCCTCCACTGCTCCATCACTGCAGGATTTGGGGCCCACACAAACACACACCTGTTCCATTTTTCAAGCCATGAAGCTGGGACTCAAGCCATGGTCAGCCATGTGATCTCCAGCTCTTGTATGGCTTCCATTTTGTGTCGTACTAGGAAATGTCTTCCTCACACTAAAGTTTTGGGGTTTTGTAAATGTAAGTTCCCATGAAAGCGAGGTAAAGTGAGAAAGTACCCCCTCACGGGAGATGTTTGCACTGCAATCCCTTCCCCTTCTGCTGCACTGCACGTAACCCCCGCACTGCTGGGCCGTCTTCAGCTTTTTTTTTAGGTTTTTGCCGTAGGGCACATGTGCTCACAGGAGAGACAGAGAGGGAAAGTGAGAAATCACCCAAGGGGGATGGCCATTCTGCAATTCCTTCCCCTCCTTTATGTTCTTGGGATTTGGGGTATGCATACACATGTGCCTAGCCAGATTTTCAAGCCACTGGGTCCGGGACTTGAGCCATGGTTGTTGACGTGGGAGCCCAGCACCTTAACCACCATGCCACCTGCTGGCCCCAACACCCCACTTATCATTACCTTAATTTATCTACATCCCTGGTCTACCCGCCCAACCAGCATGTTAATCCCATGAGAGACGGACGCTGTAGGTTTTGTTCACTTCTGTACCCCAGCTCCTGGGACAGCATCCGTTCTGCACATGCCCAGCACCCACCAGGGAGTGATTTACGAATGTACGTAAATACGGGAAGTGACGTCTCGTGACGAATGAACGTGTTTGCAGTGTGCCAGGTGGAACAAATCCAGGGGGAGACAGGGCAACCTTATAAATACACTATATTCATTTTTATTCACATGGTTTAAGAAAACCAGACATCCGTGTAAGTTGGAGAAACCTCTCTGAATTTGGAAACGTGTTGGCGGCACGGGTGTAGACTGGGAAGTCCGAGGTGGCGCCCAGCGGTCTGTGATGAATGCCGCACAGTGACAGCAGGCGTTTCGTGCACAAAGGGCACATGGGGACACGGCAGATTCACACCCGGGCGTCTTGAACAGCCCTGCCAATACCACTCTGTCTACTCCGTCTTCCTCAGAATCTCTCCTAGGAGCGGGGCTCCATAAAAAAAACCTTTGAGGAGCCAGCAGGTGCCATGGTGGTTAAGGTGCTGGGCTCTCACATGGCCCACCACAGTTCAAGTCCTGGACCCAGCAGCTTGAAATTCAAGCTGAGTGCATGGGTGTAAGTGCCCAAAATGCCAGGAGAAAATGGAGAGAAGGGATTGTGTCTCTTTCTGGTGAGTGCACATGCCCTAAAGCAGAAATTTTTTTTTTTTATTAAGAATTATCCATTTAATTTTATCGATCATTATTATCTTTTTTGTTTTTGTTTTTTGTTTTTTGTTTTTGCTACAGGCTATGCACACTCATCAGAGAGATGGAGAGAGAGTGAGAAAACAAGCCGCCAAGACTGGACTCGAACCAAGGTTGGCCAGGTAGGAGTTCAGCAGCCCAACTACCACACCATCTGCTGACCCCCTCCCTCACCTTTTTGCTAGAGGGCATGTGCACTTGCCGGAGAACCAGAGAGAACGAAAGCAAGAAGTCACCCTCCGGGGGGATGGCCACACCACAATCCCTTCTCCATTCTCCTCTCGGGATTTTGGGCATGCATGCACGCATGCCTGGTATGAGTTTTAAGCTGCCAGACTTGGGACTTGAACCGCGATTGACTACATGGGAGTGCAGGGATGCAATCATTATGCCATCTACTGGTCCCTAAAATAAATTTAAAAAAAATAATTTAAAGGCAGAATTCTTCTATAACCTGAGCATTGCAAAACAAAATATCCATTGAGTCAAGGGGGTCAAAGGTGACTAAATGCCCTCGTTCAGACAGGTTCGAGTTCCGTCCAGTTTTATGTCTGGTTAATTTTAGAGTAGTTCTTTTTCAGGGGAGGGGAGGGAGGAGAGACCGCAACCCATCGGGACTATGTCTTCCCCCAAGGAAATGTTTGCTCTCCCAAACTGCAGTCAGGCATCTGAACCTTCTGCTGGGCCCATCTGTGCACTATGTACGATTCTGTTTTAAAGATCTCTGCTAAGTCAATTTAACAAGAGCCCCCAGCCCGGATCCTCCATGCCTGATTGTCCTGGGTATCTGGCAGGTTCCCGTCCCTCACCGTCCCCCAGGTGATGGCTGACCGCCCTGGCCACTGCAGCCAGGATCCTGATAGTTCAGCCAGAGTCCCACTTACCTTCCCACCCACTGAGCCCTGCCCTGCCCCGTGGCTGTGCACTCCCACTTGCTCAGGTTCTATTCGAGGTTGAGTTTGAGCTCTCGCCCCCTCTGCAAGACCCATTGCAGTGGTCCCTGTACTTCTCCCATGGAACTGAGCAAAGTCCTCTTTACTGTGCTTTATTTACTTCATTTTAGTTTTTCTACAGGGCTTGTGCTCTTGCTGGAAAGGGGGGGTTGAAGTAAGAGATCACCCTCCAGGGGCATGGCCATGCTGCCATCCCTTCTCCTCCACTCTCCATCCAGATTTCGGCCACGCATGCACATACTCTTAGTATGACTCTCAGGCCACTGGGTCTGAGCCCAGGTCTTGAACCTCAAAGCTGGCCATGTGATATCCAGCGCCTTAACCTCTACACCACCTGCTGACCCCTCTTTATTTTGAATTTGCCAGAGAGAGCGAGAAAGTGAGAAAGCATACCCTTCCCATGGGGGATGATGACAGCAGAATCCCTCCTCCATTCGCACCTCTTTTCAGAATTCTGGGCATGACACATGTCCTGGTGTGTTTCTCAAGTCAGCCACTTGGGTTCGCTCCTTCAGCCGCCATGCCACTCACGGCCCCCTGACTGTGTATCACTTACTAAGAGTCCCTGAATAATTTTTTGTACTTTTTTTTTCTTGGAGAGGTTTTTGCTATAGGGCGTGTGCACTCGCCAGAAAGACAGAGAGACAGAGAGACAGAAACCGAGAAATTACCCCTCCCAGGAGGGATGGTCATGCCACAATCCCTTCTCCTCCATTCTCCTCTCGGGATCTTGGGCACGCATGCACACACACATGCCCGGCTTGAGTTTAAGCCACCGGGTCAAGACTCAAACTGAGGTTGACTACATGGGAGTCCACAGATGTAACCAATACGCTATCTGCTGGTCCCCCCCCCAAAATATATATATATATATATGTGTGTGTGTGTGTATCTTAGCACTCTATCAAATTTAGCACTCTAACAAAGTCCCTTTTGAGATAGGATCATGGTGAGCAATTGTTACCAATAGGAGTCTGTTATGTCTCTATATCTCTTAAGTATTTTGAGACTTTTTAAAAAAATAATTATTTATTTTATTTATTCATTCATTTATTTTTTAATTTGACCAGAGAGAGACAGAGGGTGAGAGTGAGAGAGAGAGGAAGTGAGAAAGCAAGCTACCAGATTTCAGGACTCGAACCCTGGTCAACCATGTGGGAGTGTCCAGCGCCTTAACCACCATGCCACCTGCTGGTCCCTTGAGGCTTTTGTTTTTAATTAGGGATTTAATTTAACTGTATCTTTCCAGTGAGGCCCTCAGTCGAATCCCTACCAACCTTTTGACTGAGATTGCTTGGGTAAAACCATATCCACAGTAGACAGCTGTTACTTAATATTTAATAATAACTAATATGTTCCAGCCCAGTCTTATTTCACATTAGAAGCGTCCATATCATCGCACTGCAAACTGTTACAAACTTTTACTTTATAACACGATCTGAAGGTAGACAACGGGGGTAAAGCTTATCAGACTTATAAAAACATTCGAGACACTTGCTCTTATTTTGTTGATTTAACGGTTCGTTTTCATTATTAAGCATGATGAAAAAGCAATGTAAGCAAACAGCAGATCATCTAAAGACTCTTCAAACAGATCTCTCAACAGTTTCTGATCTAAATGAGAACACTATTTTTTTATCTACACAGAAGATGTCTTTGGCATAACTAGAAGGGGTGTTTAAATTTTGTGCTTTTTTCCCACCATAAAACTGAAATAAGATGAAACGGAAGCCCACAGACCCTGCTGAGGTGGAATTCCACCAAGAAGGTCGGATTATTGCCATATAAAACACACTTTGTCATGCAGTTTATAATTAATGATATGACAACTAATGAAATCATATTTTTCTTTGTTTAGTTTAGATTTTTTTTTTTTTTTTTTTTTTTTTTTTGCCATAGTGCATGTGTGATCACCAGAGAGAAACAGAGATAGGGAGAAAGTGAGAAATCACCCCCCAGTAGGGATGGCCACACGGCAATCCCCTCTTCTCCAGCCTCCTCTCAGGGCCCTGGGCACACATGCACACGTGCCTGGTGTGATTCCCAAGCTGCCGGGTTTGGGACTCGAACTTCAGAGTCGGCCATGTGGATCCAGCACTTAACTACCATGCTATCTGCTGGCCTGAAGTCATAACTCTTGACCACTCCCACTAATATAAATCGACTTGTCCTCGGAGGACTAGAGGGTGAGCTATGCGCAAGGCCCTTCCAGTGTCTGGCTGGTTCATCTACAGGCAGCGTCTGGAGGTGCGGGGGTCTTCCTGAGGCGCGAAGAGGGCCATGGGTTGTGATGGAGGGCTCCTAATTAACGCCAAGTGCAGGTCAGAGGCTGATGACCTTCTAAAAAACGGCACCGGCACCTCTGTACCCCCTGAAAACACCATGAAGCACTGAACGCTCACTAGCCACGTGAAAAGAGGAGCAGATGCTCAGTGTTTTCGTACACCGCAGAGGGGGAGCTGGCACAGAGAGTGGGGTGTGCCCCAAGGAGGGCGATGCCGATACCTGGATCCATCCTAGCGCGTCCGATGGGCCCAGTCAGCGCCCTCTGGAACATGCGGTGCCTGCACTCCTTCAGGCCTGGCCCGGGCCTCCTGCACCTTAACTACCTGTCCCGGAACCGCCTGCGAGGCGTGCTCGGGCCCAGATGTCCTCCACAAAGCCCACAATCCGTCTAGAAAGGCAGGGTCCCCTGGTTTGCCCCAGGAATCTGCCCCTGTCATGAGCTCATCAGGTGTTTCTGACTCACCATCCAGCTTGAGAGTGCCCATCTGACCGTCCCACTGGCCGGGTCCTTACTTAGATACTAAATTCTGCAGCATATTTGGAATGCTGAAGCTGCATCGAATGTAGGGGGTCCCCACATGTAACACTTTCTCTGGTTGAAAGGTGACAGATGAGATCAACTCAGCCAAGTCCCAGTTTAACACATTCTACCTGCACCGTGTAACGCTCGCAGATGGATGGCCAACAAGAAAACTGCGGCACAGTGCAGCACGGCCCCCAGCCACGGCTGAGGACTTGTAAGAAGAAACTTACAAGCTCCAACTCTGTGATGACGTGAGAACTTGCGCTTAGAAGGCAGGATGGACTCGCAGGAAGACCCCTGTTCATTCCCTTCACCAGGTGGGCAGGGAGCAGGGCCCGCCCTAAGCGAGGGCCCCACACTGGGTGATGCTGCCCGGTTCCCAGGGCTCCTATAGCCCCACCGTCCTCTCTCACCTTCTCCCGCCGACGGTTCCAGCTCATTCTCCCTGCAGAGCTGACAGGCCGCTGGGGGAGCTCTGGGGAGGAGCTGCTGCGCCATGAGAAACTCATCAAGTAAAGCCAGTTCCACTGTTTAAAGAGCAGCCCAGAGCTAACAAGAATAGTAGCCTACTCCGCTTAAGCAGAATTGAAAACCCTATTTGAAATAAACTGAAAACCCAATGAAATACCAGTCATGTGGCCTAGCAAGGACTCGCTTAAACCCGTGTTCCCTGTTTAAAATCACGCATACAGAATCAGTGCACAGTTGGAGAAAGTTCCCTAGTTAGATACGTGTGGCATGACCCCATCCCAAGTGCCTGGACACCGCCATGGTCAGTGTTCTCACCACAGTGCCACGCCGGGCTGCGGAGCTCGGGGCACTGCCCCTTCGTGTGGAGTCTGCCACGAGAAGCGAATGTCTGGGTCATGTTTCTTTTTTATGTAGTTCTGGCTCAGGAATCCGATACAGAGCAGCTGAGAAATAGATTATGTTGCTGAGGCTGAAGACGAGGCACAGAAGGACGGCCCCGGCTATCTGGGGGAAGGAGAGGGGCCTGGAGGTGGCCAGGAGCCAGTCCTTCCTCAGGGTCTTGTCCAGAAGGATGGCTTCCATCTGCATGTGCGTGGCCAGGATCACACACACGTGGAACAGCTGATGGCTGTGACCTAGGGAGACACAAAGCCATCCAGGTCAGCAGGGGAAGGAGTGGAGGATTGAGGTGTGCTGGGCATGCGTGCTAAAAACACCATGCTAAGTGAAAGAAGCCAGCCCAGACACACCATGCGACCTCACCTGCATGAAATACCTGGACGGGCGAGCCATGGACAGAGTGAACTGGTGGCTGGCTTGAGCAGGGGGAGAAGGAGGAAGACATACATGGGTAAGAGGGGTCTCCTTGGGGGTGGTGAGAACGGTCTAAAACTGATTTACGGTGATGGTCGTACAGATTAGTAGATTCATGAAAAATATTGAATTGTATACCTTAATACGTTTATGTTTTAAGAAGCAATGGGGGGGGCAGCAGATGGCGTAGTGGTATGTCACTGAACTTCTACATAGCCGACCTGGATCGAGCCCCCTACCCAGACTTGAAACTCACACCAGGCACGTGTGCATGTGTGCCCAAGATCATGGGAGAAGAATGAGGAGAAGGGATTGCGGTGTGGACAATCTCCCTGGAGGAGGTGATTTCTCCCTCTCCCTCTCCCTCTCCCTGTCTCTGTCCTTCTCTTTCTCTCTGGCGAGTGCACACCCCTTAAGGCAAAACCATCTACCAAAAAAGAGAGAAAAAGCAGTATGAGAAAAATAACACCAACAGAGTCAACTAAATTCTCTCTCTCTCTAATGTTTTTGCTGTAGGGAGACACAGACCATAGAACCTTCTGCATTCTCCCCTTGGCATCGTGGGCACATACGCACCCATACCCGACATGATTTTTAAGCCTCCAGGTCCAGGACTCAAGATGTAATCAATTATGTGAGCATCCAACACCTTAACCTCCATGCTAGCTGCTGGCCCCAAATTCCCTTTTAAATCAACTTATTTACCAGTCTCATGTCATTAGTTGTGTGTGTGTGTGTGTGTGTGTGTGTGTGTGTGTGTGTGTCCTTTTATATCGCCAGTCGTGTGTACTCGGCTGAGAGAGAGAGAGAGCACCCTGACGGGGCACGACCACACTCAGCCCTTCCTCCCGCCTCCACCTGTCAAGCCTTCCAGCATGCACACGCCTTTAGCATGTTTTTCAAGCAAGGGGGTCAAAGGTGACTAAATGCCCTTGTTCAGACAGGTTCGAGTTCCGGACCAGGAACAGGACTCAAACCATAGTTGACCATGTGGAATCCAACGTTCTATCTACAGTGCTTAATGCTACGGGGCTGGCCCCAAAAGTCCTCTCTTTATTTATTTATTTATTTTTGGTAAATATTTACTTTTTAAAAACATTTATTTATTTATTTGTTGTGATATTCAAGCTGCTGGGTCCAGGACTCAAGCCACAGTCGACCATGTGGGAATCCAGCACCTTAATCACCACGCCCGCTGAGGGCTCCAAGGCCTTCTCTCGAGAGCGGCAGTAACCAGCTCAGACCCCGACCCCAGAGCCCGGGGAGAAGCCAGCCCAGCTTCCTATTGGCTACACAGCGGTGCCCCTCGCCTTATTCCCGGTTAGTCACAGGCATGACGGAAGGCTCTGGCCTGGCCTTCCTTCCCGCTCACCCGAGCCACTTTAAGACACCGGGGGTATGACAAGATACGAGTCATGGGCTGCACTCTCCTGAAAAACTCCCGCTGGAAGTCCTGCCCTGAAGCATCTCGGAATCTCAGAATGCGGCCATATTTGGAGGGAGAAGGTAAGAGAAGGGAGCTCGGGGGTGGGCTCTAGCCCACGATGACCAGTAGAGAGTGGGGCACAGATCTGCGTGTACGGAGGGGGAGAGATGCCGTGAGGACAGACGGGCAGGCTGGACACCCGTGCACCAAGGAAGGAGGCCCAGGAGAAACCCAGCCCACCGACACCTCGTGGCAGGCTTCCACAGACTGCAGGGTACCCTCCCTCCCGGTCAATCCCAGAGCCAGGGGGGACAGACACTTCCCTCAGGGCCTTGCCTCCGTTCCCCACATGGAGGCAGGAACCCCATGAGCAGGTGTGCACCCCACGGTCCCCAGGTCTTCTCTCCACCGCACCACTTCCCAGACCGAGGGCGCTCAGGCTGGGGCGGGAGTCGAGAACCTGCATGTCCCCGGCAGTGCCTGTGCGCTGGCCCTGGGGCCAACTCGACAACACTGATTCATGAGGCCAAGCACACCTGCCACTCCGGCACAGCCCTGCTGTCGGGCAGCCCTGGGGCCGTCTGTACCCCAACTCTGCTGCTGCTCCGCAGGGTTCACCAAACAACAGGACCCCACCACCACCAAAGTCCCATTGGGATGCTTTGGCCATTCTGGGTGCCCTGCTTGCCAACCCTGGATACGTGCTGGCTATGTGACCAGAGCACCCCTGCCCACCCCTCACCCTTCACAGCCACATACACTGGCACCAGGGTGGGACCCTCCCCGGCCAGGAGGTCGGCCAGCAGAGCAGCAGCCCTCCCCCACTCCCACCCTCCCACTCACCGATGTAGTCGAAGCGTCCTGGGGCCAGGCGCTCCGGCAGGTGTGCGGAGTACAGGAAGGAAGCCAGGAAGGTCATGAGCATGTGCCTCTGGTGGTACAAGGTGGCCTCGTTGCATGCGCTCTCCCCGGGGAACAGGAACAGCTGCAGGTGTAAAAGAAACATCAGGTCCTAAGGGGAGGGCAGGCGGGCGGGCCCTGTCGCTCCTCAGCTCCCACCGCCCAGACCGCACGCGGCAGACTGCACAGACCAGGGTCTCCGCTCCCCAGTGGGACCTCCTACTCCAGTGCGATCCACTGACACCCAGATAATCACACTTCAGTCCCTCCAGTGCTCACGAGCGCCTCTGGGTTACTTAACTACAAGAAAGTGATGAGAAATGAAGGACGAAAAATAAAAGAAGGGGGACCAGCAGTTAGCGTAATGGGCTATGTCGCTGGACTCCCATGTAGTCGACCGCAGTTCAAGTCCCGGACCCGGTGGCTTGCGGGCCCAAGATCCCAAGAGGAGAATGGATGATAAGGGATGGCGGCATGGCCATCCCCCCTGTGGGGTGATTCCTCGCTTTCTATCTCTCTGTCTCTCTCTGTCTTCCTGGTGAGAGCACGCGCCCAATAGCAAAAACCTCTCCAAAAAGAGAAAAAAGAAAGAAAGAGAAAGAAAGAAAGAGAAGAAAGAAAGAAAAAGAAGGGGAAAGGAAGGAAAAAGTGCAAGATGCTTAGGGGCCAGTGGTGTGGCGGGTCAGGTGCTAGACTCCCGCACGGCTGCCATGGCTTGAGTCCTGGACCTGGTGGCTTGACAAGCATTCCGTGCGCCTGGACGTGTGTGCCCCAGAGCCCAGGAGAAGAGTGGAGGGGAAGGGATTGTGTCGTGGTGATCCTTCCCCCGCCCCCGAGGGTGCCGTCTGACTGTCCTTGCCCTGCCTCGCTCTCTGGTGAGCGCACGCACAGTAGGGCTAAAATCTTCAAGAGGAAACCATTGTTTTTAAGAAGTCACGAGGTCCTTCTGTCTGGGGTGAATGCTAAGTCCAGGGGAGGGTGATCCGGTCACACTTGGGCTCGCGTCAGCAGCATGGTCACTGAACCCATGCTCCCAATAAGGGCCCGGAGGGCTAGAACCCCGAGGAGACCCGAGTCGCCCGCAGGTGTCGGCATGGCCATTCTGCTGCTGTGGCACGAAGTGTGGCTCTGCGTCACGGTGTCACACGTAAGGAGAGCAGCTCCCGCTTCCTCAGGGCGTTCGGCCTCGCCTTTGACACGTGGCACTTCATCTGAGCCTCAGCCGAGTCCACCATGCCCAGGGTGCAGAGACGAGGCGGTGCGCAGTGACCGCGACTCGGCCGGACCTCGCCTGTGCCCACCCTGCCGCCAGCTCTGTGTGTCGGAGGGCGGAGTCGGGGCCGCTGGGCTGTCTGCCTGGCTTTCCTGTGTATGGGCCATGCCCTCGAGGGAGTGATGGGAGCAGGCTGCACCCCGTTCCGGTCTCCCCCAGACCCACACGGGCGCAGCACAGGCCATGCGCTCCCTGCCCCGCCCCTGCCCGCCCCCTTGGGCCCACAGGAGGCTGCTGGGAGGGACCCTCCATCCTGGGTGCTGGCCCTGTGCCAGGCACTGCCGAGCCCATCAGATCCACCCTTCTGATGACGCCTCGTCGTGCCTCGGGGAGGAGGCGACATCGGGCATTTACAGATGGGGAATCTCAGTGCAGAAGGTCGTGTGCACTGCCTAAGGTCACACAGCCGTGAGCGGCAGGACCAAGTTCCACCTATCCTTGTCCCTCCCACACTCTCCTCCTTCATGCCACCTAAGACCTCCACGGACCCCTTGTCCTCCAGTCTAGTAATACATTCGCTAATGATTCTACGAGTGCGATCCTCCCCAGGGCCCCCTGAGAGGTGTTTTCATCCTCCCATTTTACGCCAGGGAGGTAGGCCGAGGCAGAGAGCTCGCTGAGGACAGTCTGCAGAGATTCAGGGTTCGCCTCCGAGCCTGCACTCTCCTGCTGCCTGCCCCCAGGTCTCTGAGACTGTCCTGAGCCCGTCACGTTGCCCATCTGGGCTTCTCTGTTCACGCCGTCATCCGTCGCTCTGTAAGTGCCGTCCAGACGGCAGCTGCGCCTCAGCTTCCACTTTGCCCTAGTGCTGCGGCCCCAGAATCTCAGGGAGCAGCGTACCCCGGGAGTGCCAACGGCCGGGCCGACCCTTACCCTGTAGAAGATGGGGAGGGAGTCCCAGGTGTATGGATACGCAAAGGCGAGGACCCGAAGCACCTTGCAGAGCCTGGGCTTCTGGATTTCAAGGAACCTAAATCGTGGGCGGAAAGAGGGAAGAACGGAGACGAAGAGTTGAGGTAGACCACACGCCACGTCCTCTCAGTCAACAGACGTGACTCCGCCTTGGGTGGGGAAGGTCTCCAGAGAAGCCAGGTCCTCACACCGTAAGAAGTGACATCCAGGCCACGCCAGGGAGGGGGCACAGAGACCCACCATGGGCCGAGCCATTTAACGAAGTCCAGTTACGGGCCGGCAGGTGGCGTGGTAGTGAAGGCACTGCAGACCACATGGTCGACCACGGTTCGAGTCCCGGACCTGATGGCTTGCTTTCTCACTTTCTCTGTCTCTCTCTGGTGAGTGTGTGTGCCCTATAGGACATTAAAGTAAAAATAATAATAAATAAAATTAAGTAATTAAAAAAAAAGTCCAGACCACCCAGTAGCACGGAGATTAAGGTGCTGGATACAACATAGTTGACTGTGTGGTTTAAGTCCTGGACCCAGACATTTGAAAATGGGTGCGTGGGCAGGCGTGCTCAGAACCCTGGGGCAATGGAGGAAGGGACTGTGCCGTGGCTGTCCTCCCTGGTGGCGCTTCCTCTCTCTCTCGCTTTCTCACGCTCTCTGTCTCTTTCAGTACTCATGCCCTGTAGCCAAAAAAAAAAAAAAGTGCAGTCGCCAGAGGGCAGGGAGATACGGGGTGTGGTGGCCTCACAGGCCCGGCTGCCCGGCACACTCAGAGGCTGGGATGCTGGACCGGCGTGACCAGGCCCACTGGGCTCGGAAGGCATAAGTCGCTTGGAGAACTCTGGAATGTTCATATCATAAAATGGCGTCTGCCCTCATCACCCACTCCTCTGCAGTCTAAAGCCATATGCCCGTCCCCTTCAGGCCCCTCCAACAGAACATGACAGGCCTCTGCTGGCCTGGGCTCAGCTGGGGAGGGGTGGCAGCTGCAGGGCAGGGAGCCAGGCCCCAGGGAGCCATGGGGGACATGAAGGCCCGGTGCCCTGGTGGAGCCGCCAAGGCTGGGAGGCAGGCAAGGCGCCCAGTCGGCACTGCAGGGACGGTGGAGGGCGGGGTGCTCCCTGGGTCCTCGGGGCTGCAGGTGAGGGCCAGGCCCCAGCAAGGGGGTGGGCCAGGCAGACACCAGGGCTCTCGGGCCTGTCCTGATCAGGCTGTGGAGGCGAAGGGCACACTTGCCCTCCAGCCCTCCCTGACATTCTGCCCCCACTGGGAGCTGGCCCCGCAGGTCCCCAGCTCTGCTCCCTGGCCCCTCTGCCCTGCACGTCCTCCTCAGACACCCCTGCTCGCCCCAGCCGCGGCACTCTCCCGGCCAGGCGTCCGTGTCCTCCGTGAGCCGGCGCAGCCCCGACTGTGACCCACACCCCCTCAGCACGGACACGGCAGACTCCCACATCCTAGGGCAACTGCTGGTCTAGACAGGTCTGTGTCCCCAAGCCCAGCTAGAAGCCATCTGAGAACGTTCCCAGGCTCTGGCCTAGTCCTCCTCGGGCAGCTGAGCAGAGTCGGCCCTTGCAGGGACCCCTGGGGACATCTGTTCCAGGGGAGAGCACCCTGCGGGCCCAGGAGCCCCCACCCACCCACAAGCCCGCAGGCACAGCTCAGGGGTGGGTGGGGAAGGAAGAGAGGCTGCGGAGGAGGGGAGGACGGAGGAGCTGGGCACCCACCAAGACAGGACCCGCGGCTCAGACCCACCTCCAGCCCCAGGAGCGGCGAGGCAGTGCAGCACCAGGACCTGGAGAGGAGGGTGTGACCCGGACACGCGGCCCTCCGTGACCACGCGACCACGGCACGTCGCCTAGCATGTCCTCCCAGTCCGCCCTGGGACGAGGACGGCCCGGACCTCCCTCGCAGGACTGCTGCGAGGACAGACGGGCCAGTGCTCACGAGGGTCAGGGCGGCGCGGCGCAGCCTGAAACGGCAGCTTTCGCGTATCGCACGCTTGGGCGGTGCTCGCAAGGCTCACTCACAGGTGTGACCTCCCCGAGCACGCGAGTCCCATGTGCCCGCGAGCTGGGGCCGGGGTGGACCACCACCCAACACCCCGCTGGGGGACACCTGCTCGCTCGCTCTCTCTTTCTCTTAATAATGGAAACAATGAGTACGTGACTGTGTGTGTGTGTGTGTGAGTATGTGAGGGTGTGAGAGTGAGTGTGTGAGTGTATGTGTGTGAATATGTGAGGGTGTGTGAGTGCATGCGAGCATGGGAGTGTGTATGTGAGAGTGTGTGTGTGAGTGCATGTGAGTGAGAGTGTGAGTGTCTAAGTGTGTGTGTGCGTGAGAGTGTATGTGAGAGTGCGTGAGTGTGTGAGTGAGCATGTGAGTCTGTGTGTGAGTGTATGTGAGTGTATGTGTGAGCATGTGTGTGAGTGTATGTGAGTGTATGTGTGAGAGTGTGTGTGAATGCATGAAAGTGTATGTGAGTGTGTGAGAGTGTGTGTGTGTATGAGAGTGTGTGAGATTGTGTGAGTGTGTGAGCGTGTATATGACAGTGTGTGAGTGCATGAGAGTGTATGTGTGAGTGTGTATGACAGTGTGAGAGTGTGTGTGAGTGTGTGTGGGGGGAGTGTATATGAGGGTGTGTGTGAGTGTGAGAGTGTGTGTGAGTGTATGTGTGAGTGTGTGTGTGTGAGAGGGTGTATGTGACAGTGTGTGAGAGTGTATGTGAGAGTGTGAGTGTGTGTGAGTGTGTGAGTGTGTGTGAGAGGGTGTATGTGACAGTGTGTGTGTGTGTGTGAGTGTGTGTGAGAGGGTGTGAGAGGGTGTATGTGACAGTGTGTGAGTGTGTGAGAGTGTACGTGTGAGTGTGTGAGAGTGTGAGTGTGTGAGAGTGTGAGTGTGTGAGCGTGCCCCCATGCTGTGGCGCTCCATGCTCTCCTCTCCCGTCTTGCAGTGGTGGCGTGCCAGGGGACAGCACCAGAAGGGGACGGGCAGGTCCTGCCGTGGATGAGCCCAGCAGGCGCCGAGCAGGACCACAGCAGGGCTCAGTGGCCTCCAGGCTTCAGCTCTCCCGACCTCCCCTGGCAGGCCGAGCAGGCCTGGGGGGAGGGAACATAGCCTGGCTACCCAAGAGCTGGGGTTCCTGCCTCAGTGGCCTTCTCGGTCTACCCTCGGTCTACCCTGGCAGGCCTGGCCAGCGGCGGCAGGCCCATTCCCGCCGTCGCACACGCCACCGCTTGCCCGTCCTGCGTTAGAAGGGCCTCTTAGAGCCTGCTCCGCATGGCCACTCACACACGGAGGTCTGGCTCTGGCCATCCCCCAGGACTTGAGACCGCATTTCACTCGACCTGATAAAGTGCTTCCCCAGGGGAAAATAGACCGGCCTCCCCAGCCGCGCAGCCCAGTCTACAAGGAAAAAAGGTGAGAAAGCAGAACAGCAGAGTGACAGGGACAGCGACAGAGAAATAAGGCAGCAGGGCCTACCCACACGCAGGTGCAATTCCGCATCCGGCCACAAGGTGTCGACACAGCCAGAGATTTTGCCTGTGAGGCCCAAGAACCCTCCCAGCACCTGGCGCCCCAGCCCAGCTCATTTGTGGCAGTCCCTGCACCCTAGGGTGAGAGGCGAGTTTACAGGGAGCCGGGCCTCCTCTCCAGAACCAGGTGAGCAGGAAACACGATTTCAGGAGCCTCCAGTAAGAGGCCAGCTGAGACCTGCAGCGACAGAGCTGGAGAGAGAGGTCTGCAGCCAGGGTCCGGGACGGGAGCTTCAGATGGGGCAGAGGGGAAGCGCTCTGCCCATGCTGGGGTCACACCCTGTGGGTCTGGGCCCTGTTTGGGAGAATGAGGGGAAGACGGGCGTCTCCATGTTCCGGGCCCTGGCCTCGCAGCACGCATCTGGTGGACCACCTGGTCCCTGGGCGTGCTGGAGAGCCCCATCTGCCCAGCAGACCCCTCCAGCTCAGACCTCGGAGCCTGTTCCAGGCCGCTCCTGCCCCTCCAAACCCTGAGGGCCCAGCTGGCTTCCTGTGCGGGATGAAAGCTCATCTCAGCCAGCAGGCAGTGTACTACCGAGGCGCGGGACTCCCACATGGCTGACCACGGTTCAAGTCCTGAACCCAGTGGCTCAGGAATCTCGCCAGGCACGTGTGCGTGCATGCCCAGCATCCCAGGGGGGAATGGAGGAGAAGGGATTGCAGCGTGGCCATCCCCCTGGGGGGTGACTTCTCACTTTGTCTCTCTCCGGTGAGTGCGTGTGCTCTATGACAAAAAACGTTTAAAAACGGAAACTCATTTTGCCCTCACAGCAGCGCTGACCATGGGCATGACACTCAACATTCATTGTCAAAAAAGCCAGCAGCCGTGTACACGGGGTGGCGGGTCTCCAGTGACCCCTGCTGCCCGGCAAGCGCTCCCCAGTGGTCCCTCTGTGCCCTAGGCATAGGGCAGGCAGGGGCAGCTTGGGTCTCAGTCACACCTGCTCTGAGGCCCGCGGAGAGGGTGCACGCTCCATCCCCTTTCTCCAACGTAACCGAGGAGGAGACAGTTTTCTGGAACAGAGTCATTTGGACTAAATTCCAGAATACTAAGAACCAGGAAACCCCTGGGGGGCCACAGCATTTTCTCTGTGGTGTTCGGCCCGACGGTCTGTGCGGGTGTCTGGTAAGCCCGTGAACGACCACAGACTGACGGGGTTTCTGCTCTCCTGCGCCTGGGAAGGCTGAGGTGACTCTCCACTCCGGCCAGACCACAGACTGGCGAGCTGGAGGAAGGGGCAGGTGGGGGAGGAGGCGGCGAGGAGGCTCTCAGGAGAGACAGAACCACGGGCACTGTGGGCTTCCCAAACCAGAAAGGCATGGGGGACTTCTCAGGTGACTGGGTGAAGGTGCAGACATGGAAGCTCAGAGGGTCAGTGACTGGCCCACACCACACACAAGTTCATGGGGGAGCAGGCCTGAAATGCAGGCCCCACAGTGCAGGGGGGCCAGCAGCACCCACAAATGGCAGGCCCACTTTCCCTGTGGCCCTGAGAGCATGCGTCGGCCCCTCCTCCCTCCCGCTCCAGCAGAGCCCTCTGCACGTGGGGGTCACCGACACCCAGAAGCCCCTAGGGGCACAGGAGCAACCCCATATGCTCTCCCCAGGACAGTGCTGTTCTCTGTGGATGCCAGGCCACTGCTCACAGGACACACAGTAGCTGCGAACCCCCAGCCCACCTCCCAGCCCTCTCCAGCCCCTCTCCCTCCTGCCCTTGCAGACGGGCTGCTCAGGGGCTCCTTGCCACCTCCAGATCCCATGGGCCCTGTCCTCTCCGGACCCTCACCCCCTCCAGGCTGTCCCCGCTGCCCCAGGGCCCTCTTCTCTCTCCAGCTGAAATGCTCATCTCCCCCAACCCCCGGTCCCGATGCCACAGCTCAGATCCAAGCAGGTGTCGCTTGACTCTGTCTGGTCTCCATGGCACTCGTGCCACACTCGGGCACAGGACAGCTGTCCTGGGCTCCTCGGGGAGTCGGCCCCTCCCACACTGGGTGCCCTCAGGGGCCTGCAGGCTTCCCAGCTCCTACACGGACCGAGGCCCATCGGGTGGGTGGGTTATTCGCTGCCCATGTGCCCTACGGCTGAACAGAAATGCTCTCATCACGGGACGCACGCGGGCACCTGGAGGCTCCTGGCAAGCTGCCCTGGCTCGACAGGTTCACTGAAGCGCAGCCGGCAGGACATGTCCAGAGACCCATTCGCAGCCCTGAGCGAACGGGGTGGGAGTGGGGGTGGGGGGCTCTGGCTGGAAGAAAGCCATCACCCCGGTGACTTACGTGACTCAGAGCAAAACAAGCAGCAAGTGTCCCGAGAATTCGCACTGTGAGTTCACGAGGTAGTCTCAGATCATTAACTCTGGTGACTGTTCTTCCACTTCCTCAACCCCCTCGCCCACAAGGCTCTCCCTTGAACCCTAAATTCCAAATGCCAGCACAGCAGGGCCCTGTAGGAGCCAGCCGGATGGGCAGGGTCCCGACCACGTCCAGGCTGCCTCAGGCCGTGCCCACCCACGAGCTGCCTTTAGAGCCTGGCTCTGCTGTGTGTCCTGCACGCCCAAGGCAGGGCCTGGCTGCCTTCTCCCTCGGCCCCTGCCGGCTCGCACAGCCCCTACCTGCACAGGGTTCCTGATGGACTTCAACTGCAGGGACTGGCAAGGAGGTCGCAGTGCCCCATCAGGGGGCCCCTGTGGGTGGAGCCCGTGTCCTCACAGTGTTGAGGGAGTGCTATGATTTCCAGGAAGAGGGAATCCAGTCTGGGCCCAGGAACGTCCCCAGAGCAGCACCTCCAGGCCAGCGCTGAGCCTGTGCTCCACAGGGGCAGGGCCGTTCCCACAGGAGCAGCCAACTTCACCCCTTCTCAGGACCGAAATAGCAACAGAAGGCAGGCCGGGGCAGGTGCTCTCAGTGCCGCTGAAGAAGCTAGCCTTCCATTTTTCTAAAAAACCCGTTTGTCGAGTTTGTGAGATGGGCAAGCTCGCCCTGGGTCCCATAAAACCGAAGCACCAGCCAAAGAAAACTGGGGCCGAGGCCGGTCATTCGGGAGAAGTGACAGGGCAGGGCCTGCCCCACCTCTCGGTCCTTCCAGGCTGGGACCGTGCAGTAGCGCTGAGGCGGGGGCTCGCACTGGCTGGGATCGCGGCTGGGGGACAGAGCTCCGGGTGTGACCTGCCAGCCGGCCTCAGCCCAGCCCAGCCCAGAAGAACGCAGCACCCCGGCTCTGTCCGACAGCGCTGTCACCGGGCACAGCCAGCTGGGAGGCTTCCCAAGTTTAGCGAGCCGACCTTTGGGGTCGCTGGCTTTTATCACGAGCTGAAAAACAAGGGCAGTTCCCTTATCGCTACGGCCCCTGCACTCACACGCCAGTGAGCTTTCTTTTCTTTTAAGAGAGATTTTTTTCCTATAGGGCACATGTGCTCACCAGAGAGACAGAGAGAAAATGAGAAATCACCTCTCCCAGGGGGCGGTCATACCGCATTCCCTTCTCCTCCATTCTCCCGTTGGGACGTTGGGCACACACATGTGCTGGTGTGAGTTTCAAGCTGCCGGGTCCAGGGCTTGAACTGTGGTCAGCCATGTGGGAAGTCCAGTACCTTAATTACTATGCTACCTGATGGCCCAGCAGTGAGTTTTCCTGAGTGACGGGCAGTAGCAGCGGGTGCAGGTAGTGTCTGGGCTGTGAGGACACGTCTGTCATCTGTCACGCAGACCTGGAGGCAGGCCCCTCTCGCTCCCAGCTCGGGCCTGCCTATCTGCGGCACACGTGTGCCGGACTGGTGCTGGGTGCCGGTACCGCACCTGTCAGCCCGCCTCTGTCTCAGGAGGTCGATGCAGTGGCCCCGTTTATAGGTGGGCACTGGTTCAGTTACATCCTGGTGAGGCCCAGGACAAACCCCAGGGCACAACTCCCTTGTTCAGAACTAAGAATTCCAAGCAGAGCTGTGAACCCAAGCCGAGTCTCTGAGGTGCAGGCCTGAGGCCCCCCACGGGTCGTATGCCCATGGCACTGGTTCTCGCAGGGACCGGAAGTGCACCTGGAACCGGGTCCTGGGCCTCCAAGCCCCCAGGCCTCCCACTATCCCTGCAGCTCAGCTACGGGCCAGGCCCTCGCCCTCCCCTCTGCACGAGGGCAGCCCTACCTGGAGTAGCAGGACAGGCCGGTGCTGAGGATGGTGTTCAGCACCGCCAGGGCCACGTAGCAGTCGTGGAAGGTGGTGCACACCAGCGCGTCGGGGAACGCGTACGCAGAGTAGGCGATGGCGGAGCCTGGGGAGAGAAAGCCGGCCTTGGGAAAGTGGCCAGGCCTGGGCTCCCCGACCCGTGGGGGCCCGTCCTGGCATCTGGCTCTGGCCTCCCTGCCCTGCCTCTGCGCTCCTGCTGCCATGCCCCCTCCCAGGCTGGAACCTCTCTTTCCTCTGCCTCCCAGACGCTGTCTGGGAACTCACGCCCGCACTGCAGCCAGGTTTCACACGCTGACTCAGGTACGCCTCCCCACCGCCCGGCCATGCAGAGCTCGCGCTGAGCCTCACTTTGCAGACGAGGAAACAGAGGCTCAGGAAGGCCTAGTACCGCCCAGGGTCAGGCAGGTAGGAAGTGGCAAAGCACAGCTTTACTCGGGCAGCTCAGCCACAGGGTCCCCGCTTTTAACACATGCTCTCGCCCGCTGTGACAGCCCGGTGCGCTCGGCTCTGCTGCCAGAGGGTGACAGCTCCCCTGCCCGGGACAGGGGTGCTCCTGCGGAAAGCCCGGAACCAGAGCAGGGGCCCTTGCCAGCCCGAGGCACACCCTGGCTGGGGAAGGCTGCTGAGGGCTGGGTGTTATTTATTTTTATTTATTTATTTATTTATTTATTTTGCTATAGGGTGCATGCGCTCGCCAGACAGACAGAGTGACAGCCCGGTGCGCTCGGCTCTGCTGCCAGAGGGTGACAGCTCCCCTGCCCGGGACAGGGGTGCTCCTGCGGAAAGCCCGGAACCAGAGCAGGGGCCCTTGCCAGCCCGAGGCACACCCTGGCTGGGGAAGGCTGCTGAGGGCTGGGTGTTATTTATTTTTATTTATTTATTTATTTATTTATTTTGCTATAGGGTGCATGCGCTCGCCAGACAGACAGAGAGAGACAGAGAGACAGAAAGCGAGAAATCACCCTGCAGGGGGGATGGCCACGCTGCAATCCCTTCTCCTCCATTCTCCTCTCAGGATCTTGGGCACACACGCACACGCGCCTGGCCTGAGTTTAAGCCACTGGATCCGGGACACGAACCACGGTCGACTGCATGGGAGTCCAGCGACATAGCCATTACGCTAACTGCTGGTCCCAGAGCTGGGTGTTATTTTGTTTCAGGTTTGGAGTTGGTGAGAGCCCAGTTACCTAAGGGCCTTCTAGAGACCCACTCGTTACGGCTTTTATTTGGAAGAACAGGGGCGATTGGGGTCCTTCCCGAAGGGGCAGCTGTGTGGTGGCTGGAGAGAGGGGCTGGGACCAGATGGCCTCTGCAGGTCCCCTCGCCTGTCAGCCCAGGGCCTGGGGAGCATGCTGTGTCACCTGTGAGACCAGGAACCGGGGACGCCAGCTCAAGGTCAGGCAGGCCGTGGGCACACAGGCTCAGCCCCGCCCGGTATGTCCGTGATAGACAGTCTGGTAAAGCTGGTCACGCAGGCACACGGCACGGTCTCCCCACTGTCCGCTGCCGCTGACACCAGAGCCCTTTGCGGGCCTGACCCTTCAGGGAGGCTCTGGACCAGGACGCCCTTGCTCACAGGCTCCGCAGGCGACGGAAAGACAAGGGTGCCTCCCACCCTGCCTGGAACTGCAGAGGGCAGCAAAGCCGGCCAGGGCTCCGAGGCGGGCCAGTGGGGGCGGGCATTCAGGGTGGAGCAGCCAGGCACTTGGCCGGGGCTCCGGCGGTAACTGAGGCATGGAGGGCTCTCCGGGGAGCCAGAGGGGACCCAGCTCTGGACGCCGGGCTAAGCAGAGTGGACCTCCTCTTTTGGGCAATAGGGAGTCACTGAAGGTTTTTGAGCTGGGGATTAAAATGACCAAACCTGGTGGGAGTGCATGGGATGGCCTGGAGGGGTGCAGCTGGAAAGCAGGGAGGAAGCTGGGGCAACCACTGCCCAGAGGAGGTTGAGGGCTCTGACGGGGTGGGGCAGAGATGGAGCTGGGAGCTGGTGGGGCCAACAGCTCCGAGTGACCGACCATCCCTCCTGGTCGGCCGAGCGCCTCCCACGTCACGTGATGCGGGCCAGGAAGCTGGATGGGAACAGCCCCTCTCCTGTGCTAGACACGGGGCCGGGGTACAGGGGTCACCCACAGGCTGAAGACTGGCCCTGAGGTGGAGATGTGCCAGGCCTGGAGGTTCCTGGGCTCCTGGGGCGGAGCCTTGGAGGCCTGCAGGAAGGGGTGAGGGTGTCCCAGGGAATGCCATGTGCAAGGACACAGAACAGGGACCACAGCGACAGGGTAGCTCTCCGACATCTCACCAAGGACAGGAGTCAGCCCGGGGCGGCCGGCATGCAGGCCTTAGTTCTCGCCCGCCCTCCGGGACCGGCTGTGTGTCCCTGGAACTGGCCTTCAGGTCGCCACGTTGCTGTCAGCCCTAGCACAGGTGCGGTGGGTACGTCCGACCTCAGGGGCCCACCGTCGGGCTTAGCGGACACTGTGACAGTGGCTGCCCGCGATGCTTACTAAGTGCCAGGCACAATACGCCTGGTGGGCTGGCCCCGAAGCATAGGGGCTGGGCCGGGCACTGGGAGCTGGACCCACACGGCTGACCACAGTCTGGATCTAGCCTGCAAGGCCGTCACGCGGGGCACGCGTGTTGTGCATGTCCAAAGTCCTGACGGGGAGGACTGGAGGGGAGCACTGCGTTGTGGCCTTCCTGGGGGTGCTTTCTCTCCCCCTCTCTCCCTCTCCCTCTCTCTCTCTCTGTGGGTGAGCACACATGCCCTCCGGCAGTAAGAAACTTTTTTTTTTTTTTAAAGAAAAGTAAAAACCATTTTACCACTGAGGCAGACAGTGACATGGTGGTGGCTGTGAGGTTCTGTGGGGATGACCCGGGAAGCAGGGGTCCGAACGGGCGTCCAGAGCCCCCTGAACATGCCAGGTGCCTGGCTGTGGTCCAGGCTGTGGTCCAGGCTGTGATCCGGGGGTGGATCGAGGCATGGAGACACTTGGAGATGCTGTCTCTGTCTCTCTCTCATCTCACTCATGGCAAAAAAGAGGAAAATAATCACTTTTTTCCCTAAAAAATTATTTTATTTAACTTTATTTATTTACTTATTTAAATTTGACCAGAGATGGACAGAGTGAGAGCATGAGTGAGTCAGAGAGAGCGAGAGGGAAAGCGAAAAAGCAAGCTGCCAGGCCTGGGGCTCGAACCACGGTTGGCCATGTGGGACTCCAGAGCCCTTAACCATCGTGCCACCTGCCGGCCCCCCAATTATCATTATTTTTAAGTGTCTTTAGGGCCAGCAGGAGGCATGGTGGTTAAGGCACTGGATCCCATATGAGCAACAACACGGTTCAAGTCCCGGATCTGGTGGCTTCTAAACATGCTGGGATGTGGGCATGCATACCCAAATCCCAACGGGAGAATGGAGGACAAAGGACTGTGGCATGGCCACCTGCCCCGGGGGGGCGGGATTTCTCACTTTCCCTCTCTCTGTCTCTGTCTCTCTCTCTCTGTCTCTTTCCAGTGAGTACATGTACCCTATAGCAAAAACTTAAAAAAAAAGTCTCTAAGTAAAAACGTTACATCATCATGACTTCGTGTGAGGAAGGTATGACAGACTTTGTGGGTGTGGGAACTGAGGCTTGGAGAGGCAGAGTTGGCCAGGAGCCCGTGACCGCAGGCAGAGGGGGGCACGGGCTCCCGTATCCGACTACCAGGCCTTCTGCAACGCTGCCCTTGAGCCAGGTGCCAGGGCTCACATGGAGCCTGCCATGTGGAGCCTTTTCAAATGGCTTGCTCTTTTTTGAGAGATTTTTGCCCTAGGCTGTGCTCTCTCTGGAGAGACAGAGAGAGACAGAGACAGAAAGTGAGAAATCACCCTACAGGGGGGATGGTCACACCACAGTCCCTTTTCCATTCTCCTCTTGGGATTTTGGGCACACACGCGCACACACCCAGTTTTAAGCCATCAGGTCTGGGACTCAAACCATGGTCGACTACATGGAAGCCCAGTGACGTAACCACTGTGCCATCTGCTGGTCCCCCAATTGCTTGTTCTTATCACAGATGAGGCCAGAGGAGGCAGTCGGGGTTCCACAGGCCTCCAGGCTAAGGGGTCTGGGCCCCATCCCTGGTTACGAGGGTCCCTGGAAGGTTTTAAGTCGGGGGAGGGGGTGGCATGGTCAGAAGATGTAGAGACCCCCGACCTGGGGGGAGCCGGGTGTAGAGAGGGACAGAGAGATGGAGTTCATTTGAGGAATAAGCCAGGTCTTCAAAGAGTTCAGGGATATGGGTATTATGAAAAACCTATGTAGAGATTTCAATTTTATTTTGCCCTGGAATAAACTTGTACTTTAATTCCAGTTTTCTATTTATTATTATTATTATTATTATTATTATTATTATTATTATTATTATTATTATTATTATTATTATTATTATTATTATTATTATTATTATTATTATTATTATTATTATTATTATTTTTGGAGAGGTTTCTCGCTATAGGGCGCATGTGCTCGCCAGACAGACAGAGAGAGACAGACAGAAAGCGAGAAATCACCCCCCAGGGGAGATGGCCACACTGCAATCCCTTCTCCTCCATTCTCCTCTCGGGATCTTGGGCACACACGCACACGTGCCCGGCGTGAGTTTAAGCCACCGGGTCCGGGACGCGAACCGCGGTCGACTACGTGGGAGTCCAGCGACATAGCCATTACGCTAACTGCTGGTCCCCATTATTTATTTTTTTTAGAGTGAGCACGTGCATATGAGAGAGAGAAGAGCACGTGTGACAGGGCTGGCCACACCGCAGTCCCCTTCCCACCCTCCTCAGGAAGCCCAGTGCCCTTGCCAACACCCGGCCTGTCTTCAGCCTGGCCCTGGGACCTAAACCTGCAGGGATGTGCAGCCTCCAGCCTACGGGCACCTGTGCCACCGGGACTGAGCCACCACAAACTTCCTGAAGCGCCCTCAGACGTAGGAGAAACTGTCCACAGGGCTCGGTGACCGACTGAGAGGATGGTGGGCGTGGGTGGGCAGGGAGAGGCGGGAGGGAGCCCGAGGGTCACTCAGAGTCTGACCTGTGAGAGTGCGAGGAGTGGCCAGGTGGGCAGCAGGGGTGGGCGGGGTGAGGACGCAGGCAGTGCTGGTGTCAGGGCTTGAGGGTGGCACGGTGTGAACTAGAGACCGGGGTAGGGGTGCCTGTCCACGGGTGCCAGGGGTGGTGTGGACATCAGGGAGCGGGGCCACGGGGACAAGAGGTCCAGGGGCCAGCTAGGAAGGAAAGCGGAGGAAGGGGAGCCACGAAGGAGGAGGACGTGGGGTGAGAGTCCCGGGAGGGAGCGATCCCACAGAGAAGGAGCGGTTTATGGAGGCTGGGGCCCTGTGCCAAGGGGAGGAGCCCCAGAGCCTGGGACAAGTCCTGACAGTCCAGGGAGGGCAGGGGCCGTGGTGAACGGCAGGGACCGGCCCACAGGGTGTGGGGTGGGAGGCGGGGCAGTGAGTGTGCCTGTGTGAATGCACGTGTGTGTGTATGCATGCACCGGTGTGGGTGTGCCCGTGTGAGTGCACGTGTGTGCACACCAGTAGTTGTGGGAAAAGAGCTGGTGAAGGCGGGGTCCTGCTGGACAGCCTCCTGGGCATAGGAGGCCAGCAGGCTCTCCCACCAGAGCAGGCCCCGGAGTGAGGGGATGTCTAGCACTAGGACTAGGGGACAAGTGACTACCACTGAGTGGGGGCCAGCGGTGGTCTCCACCTATTGTAGGTCCTCGAGGCCTCTGGGCTCAGGACCCCTCTCTCCTTCTCGCCCAGGTACCACAGAAACCAGAGCTGCTGTGGGCCAGCTCATCACAGCCGTGAGAACCGATGGCTAAACATGTCAGGGGGTTTGTAGCCAGTTACTAGAACCCAGCCATCATTAAAAGTTAAGTTCATGAATTTACAGTGGGATAATCATACTGCCACAAGTCCTGCTCAGAGAACAGGACAGACCCCGTGCAGTGGGATGATTATGTCACAGTGCGCCACCTCTGTGTTCGGGGTCTCACACCATAGCTCGGAGTCAGCCATGGCATGAGTATTTACACCACAGGAATTGGCAGGCACTACAGATCAGAGAGCCAGTTGCTGAACACCTACCGGCACACCTGTGGACAAGTGTCCTGGGATACAGCATCAGGAACCTGGCGGGGGTGCCGGCATGCCCGACTCCTCCAGCAGCTCTCCGAAGCCCGTGTGGGGAAGGGGCAAGTGGCAGGGAGGGGAGGCCAGGGTAGAGCCTCACGTACCCAGGCTGAAGAGGTTGACGGCGCCGTAGTCCAGGAAGTAGCAGATATGCCGGGCGTTCTTGGACATGGAGCTGAAGGTGTGTGCACAGCTGGACGCCAGGGGGTACACGCAGCTGGTGCACATGTACACGAGCATGGGCCACGAGTAGCTGTCGTTCTGGACATCTGTCACACACAGCGTGGTCACGAACCTCCACGTGAAGAACCTAGAGCACAGCACGGCCCGCTCAGCCTCCCGGAGCTTCTCCGGTCCTCCTCACCCAGCTGTTCCCCTCACCCATGGTCCTCTGCCTTCCATTCCCCTGGGTAATCAGTCCCTCAAGGTCTCGCTCCGGGAAATACCACACACTGGACGGGGGTGGGAGGCAGTAAGCTGAGCAGGGGCCAGGGGATGAGAAGAAAGCTTTCGGTTTATCTAGTCCGTCCCCTGCCCCCTGTGGCCGTGGGTCCCTCTGACAGCACCTTCACCTGGGCTTACTTGCTTACACAGCCGGACTTCCACCTCCCGAGGCAGCTTTGTGTGCTAGAAAGCTCTCCTTCATGGAGCGCAAGTCTGCCTCCCTAGAATCCACACCATCTAGTCTGCCCAGCAAATGTTCTTTTTTTTTTTTTAAATTATTTTATTTTAACTTTATTTATTATTATTGTTACTTTCCAGTTTGATCATGCAGACACACAGAGAGAGAGGGAAGGTGAGAAAGCAAGCCAACTCACCCATGTGGGAGTCCAGCGCCTTAACCCCCACACCACCTGCCAGCCCCACCCAGCAAATGTTCTAAGGCGGTCTTCAGAACCCCCTCCCACCTCCTCGAACTTCACATTAAATAACCCTGGCTTGGGGCCAGCAGGTGGCATGGTAGTTAGGGCTCTGGAATTCCACACGGTCGACCACAGTTCAAATCCTGGACCTGGTGGCTTGAAAATCACACTGGGTACATATGAGTGCATGCCCCAAATCTGGACACAGAAACGGAGGAGAAGGGATTTTGGTGTGGCCACTTTCCCTCTCTCTCCCTCTCTCTCCCTCTCTCCCTCTCTCTGGCAAGTGCACGTTCCCTATGGCAGAAACCTTAACAAGTGATAAAAACCCCCAGCTCTTTGGATCATTCCTCCCCAGGACACGCGCTCTGTGTTCCCGCCTCCCCTTGGTCTGTCTCTATCTCTTCTATGTCCCTCTCGCAGGAAGCCACTCAAACAGACGGGATCCCCAGGTGGAGCCTTGGAAGGCAGAGGACCAGAGGGCCCTTCCTCCCTCCTTGTTCAAGCTATCGCTTCATCAGGATTAGCCACCTTTCTGAGCCAAGTCCCTCGGCTGACTCAGCTGGACCTAGATCTGGATCTTTACAGAGGCACTGCACAGGTCTGGGCACTCTGCCTGTCACGACCAGGCTTGGGGTCCCCCTGCAGACCCCCGCCTCCTCGGCCCACTGCTGGGGAGCCGGCTCCCTTCCCACCCACCCCTGCAAGAACTCCATTCCCTCCCAGTGCTGTCGCTCCTTAGCATGGTGTAGGCACGGGCTCCACAGCGCGTCCTTCAGGGGCTGAGGGAGCATGGCTAGCCCTCTGGCTGCTCCTGTGGCCCCTTCCTCGGCCTCACAGGAGACCTGAAGCTATGGCTGACTCTCAGAACCGATCCCTTCATCGTCCCAAGACTGTGTTATTCCCTAGCCCCATTTCCTCAGGGGTCCCGATCCCGGCTCCCCCAGGCCCTTCCCGTTCCCCTGTGTTGCCCGAGGGTGGTGGTTTCAGAGCCTGGCAGCTGTGTGTAAGGTGCTCAGCCAGCTTGGGTCAGCTGTAAAACAGCCACACAGTCACCCACAGGAGCCATGCACGGAGCTCGAGACCCACGAACAGGTACGGACGGTTCCTACGAAACCCTGCAGCAGGACGGAGCTCCAAGCAGCTGCATCGGCTGTGGTTACCCACACAACAGGATGCCACGCAGCTCACCCGAACCCGAGGGGAAGAACAGTACGGAGGGAGTGGTGGGAGACGAAACTGGGGCTGGGGACGCACTTGCCACGGACTTCAGGAGAACGCGCAGGAGCAGGCCCCTCCACCCCAGTACCACCAGCGACTCCAGGGAGAACTAGGACCCAAGGGGAAGAGGCTGACTCTACTCCTTTCTGCAGTGTTATAATGTATCAGCATGCATGCCTTTTACTTTATTTTTAAAGTTATTTATTTAATTTTGTTGTTACTTTTTTTTTTCAGAGGTTTTTCGCTATAAGGCACATGCGCTCACCAGAAAGACAGAGAGAGACATAGAGACAGAAAGTGAGAAATCACCCCCCAGGGGGGATGGTCACGCTGCAATCCCTTCTCCTCCATTCTCCTCTCAGGATCTTGGGCACACACGTACACGCGCCCGGCGTGAGTTTTAAGCCACCGGGTCCGGGATGCAAACCGCGGTCGACTACGTGGGAGTCCAGCGACATAGCCATTATGCTAACTGCTGGTTCCCATTGTTACTTATTTTTTAATTTGACCAGAGAGACCAAAAAGAGAGAGGGAAAGTGAGAAAGCAAGGCACCAGGTCAGGGACTCAAACCACGGTCGGCCACATTAGAGTCTAGTGCCTTAACTACCAGGCCACCTGCTGACCCCATATAGGCTTTATGTTTATGTAAAAATGTAAAACAGGGCTGAACCCATAGCTTAGTGGCTGGGGGAAGTCAGCTCCCACACGGCCAGCCATGGTTTGACTTCCAACGCTGGCGGCGTGAAGAACATGCCAGTAGGTGCATGCATGTGTGTGCCGCAAACCCAGACAGGATGGAGCAGTGGAGAAGGGACTGTGGTGTGGCCAAGGCCCATTGTGGGGTGCTTTCTCCCTCTCTCCCTGTCTCTCTCTGTCTCCCAGTGAATACACATGTCATCTGGCAATTAAAAAAAAAAAAGGCAAACAACAAACCACTTCCTGGAGCAGTTCCTGCTGCCACGGCTGCCCAGGCTGCAGGCCCAGGCCACCGGGCTTGTCTACAGATCGCCAGCCACCTGGCCCGAGCTCGCCTCCTCTCCCTGGGGCAGTGGCTGGAACTACTTTAGCCTTGGTCTGTCTCTGCCTCCCAGGGCATGATGGAAGGACAATCCAGAGACAGCCTGGGCCATGCTTCTTCTGCATGACATAAGGAAACCACGCCTTCCTGGGCTGCATCTATGTCTGCCAGGGGTGGCCTGAGAGGGTCAGTGGCCCTGATCTCCGAGGTCCTCGCCGCCCCGACATGCTGTGATCGGGTGTGTCGACCGCAGCTCCACTCTCCACTTGGAGAGCAAACACATGAGGTGTTGGGGCTGGGTATCTCCCTTCTGTACACTCGCTTCCTAGAGCCTGCCCGTGGCGGGCCGGGTACACCTCACCCGAGCTAGTGTCCCCCTCTTGCTGTGGCTGCTGGGATGAGACACAGCGCCCGCATCTCTGAGCACAGCGCCCGTACTAAGGTCTGCTCCCAAATCCTCCAGCCCTGGGGGGTGCGGGCCGAGCACCCGCTCTGCAGTGGGAACTCGACCGCTCAGAGGTTAAATGACTCGCTCAAGCTAGTGACTCTGTTTTTGGTTTCAAGATTTTTGACCTGGGGCATCTACACTCACCAGAGAGAGACAGAGAGACAGTGAGAAGGAAAGTGAGAAATCACCCCCCACAGGGGGGTGGCCACTCCATAATCCCTTCTCCTCCATTCTCCTCCTGGGATTTTGGGCATGCATGCACACGTGCCTGGTGGGATTTTCAAGCCACTGGGCCTGAGGGTTCGATACTCGAACAATAGTTCACCGTGCGGGAGTCCAGCGCCTTAACCACTATGCAACCTGCTGGGCCCAAGCTAGTGACATTTTAACCAGGGCTTCTGGAAGACCTGGAAAGCCTCCAAGACTGAGGGAGATGAAGCCAAACGCTGTCGACTTGGGCTCTGCAGCAGGAGGCGGGGAGGGTCTGGGGAGGGGTCGGGAGCTCTCGACTCCTTCCTCAGCC